CTTTTATAGTATAATTTTGAATGTAACATTAAGTATCAAAATAATTATTTTATATTTGAATAATTTATCATAAAAAATATATTGTAACAAAAGTCATCAATATGACGTAATTATAATCATCGTAAAATAACCAAATTAAACAAACACTTATATGCATTATTAGTATTGATAATAAATGTTGTAGTGTTCTTATTTATATCATATTTATCTTATGTGGGATTGAAATGTTAAGCTTTCTTCTCCATTAATCAAAAACTTAACTTATCGTATGATCCGATTAAAAATGTTACATTTTTATTCTCTGTAAAATATTAAACATAAGAAAAATGATACATAACTCTTATATTATTACGGCACTTAATCTTTAAAAATAAGACTAGAGAATATAAGTAAACATTATTTTTTATATTATTTGTTTCTTTTAATCTATATTCATTTTTTAAAAATTAATAATTTTATTAATGAAAAAGTTGAAAATGTTCTCTAGTTTTCTTATTAAGAAAAGCAATATCAGTGCCGGAAAAATATCCATATTACTGCCGAGTACATAAGCTCCAAAAAGTACATTATATTAGTAATTGATATAAAATTTAAGAAGAAAAAATTGAACATACTTTGAAATCTATTGTCTTTCAGTTTATTAATGTATCAATCATGATTTATTCAAAAAAATTTTTGTAAGCTTATACGAATTTGATACCAAGAATATATACTTTTACAAAGAGAAAAGAAAATATTTTGCTTATACAAAAGAGCAAAGAAAGAATTGTAAAATGTCTTTATTTTATTTTCACTAATAATGAAAAACATAATCATGCAAAATAAATTTTTTAATAATTTCATTTATTGTTGATGAAATATGATTTTTGCCAATTGTTTATTGCAATTTTTTCTAAAACAAAAAATATCTTATAACTGAATTTCTGTAGAAGGCACTGTAATTTTCATAGTATGTGTTATAAGTCTGCAATGTGCATGTATGCCTATTGTAACATTGTATATATAATTTGTAAATAAAAAATTCAATAGACACGATTAGTTGACAAAATAATCAAGAAAACGGAAATATATCGTGATTATTTCTATATGCATGTACTAAAAGAATAAACTTTTTACTCAATATAAATATTTATATCATCTTTTTATTATATATTAAATAAATATGATAAAATAAAAATTATAATTCTTATAAAATTTAAAAAGATTTGAAGAAATAAAATTTATTGAAACAAATTTTTATTCTTATATTTGAATTATATTTGTTTCTAATCGAATTTTATATAAAATACAATTTTATTGATCATCGTTTTCTGTCTTTTTATTTTTTTTTGGTGGCGCTTCTGTTTGATGCTCTTTTTTTGATCTTTTTTGACCAGTTCTCAAACCCATAGCTGCAAATTCTTCAGCATCAATACAACTCAAATTATTACTAATTTCTTCTTTCTTCTCTTTTCCTTCATTTTTTATATCTTCGTTATTTATGAATTGTCCATTATCACCAGGTGCTTGATAACTTAATTTCAATATCAAAAATAAAATAAAATATAACATATAAAAACATATATAATAAAACTGAAAATGAAAGTTTATTACCCAGGTACGGATATATCTTTTACTTCCTTCCCGAGAAAAATATGTATTTCTGGTACATGACGAGTTTCTTCATTTACATTAGTTTTATTTTCCTCTTTTGATTTCTGTGATCTTCAACATTTTAATTAATGAAAAAATAATGAATTCTATTATATATTTTATATATTATTATAACTTACTCCACATAACGTAATCTAGTGATTTGATGAAGACTTTCTTGTTTCTTTTTAAAAAGTTCTGCACAGGAAATAGCTTTTCCAATACCATGACCTGCTGCGGTCCAAACAATACAATTATAATTTACGAATTCTTTTAAGGCATATCCAAGAACATTTCTAATTTTTGTACCACTTTTTACCTGGAAAATTCCAATTAAGTAATATATGAATATAAAAAATAATATGATGTTAATTTTGTAAACATTTTGAAATTTACTCGCATTAAAAGGATTTTTTCTGGCAAATTTGGTATAGGAATCTCTGATTCAGTAGATTCAGATTCTAAATTTTTGACCCATTTCTTCTTCTTTGATTTTGATTTACCCATCTAGAAGAAAATTTTTTCTATTAATTATTGAATAAATATATTTAATTAAAAAAAATATTTAATAAAATATTTTAAAATGCAATTATAATTTTATAATGATTTTTATGATTTTAAGGATAATTAAGTTAAATCGTGAAAAAAAGAGATCACATCTTTCTGCCAGTAGGTCATGAGTTCGGAGGCATCACTTCTTTGGCGTGCCACATTCGGAACCATTCATGGAACTTTGGAATGAACGAATAAGTACAGTCTTGTACATAAACCTTTATCCAGTTTTATTCAATTTTATTTTCTGTTATATAGAAATAAAATGTCTATATGTATATTATTTAATATATAATAATTAGTCTCAAGTAATCTCAAAATATATTTATTCTTCGTAAAATATCTGTATGCAAAAATTAATTATTGAACAATTAAATTTTATTCTTTCAACGAAAACCTTTATAAAATATTTATATTTTAAACAAAAACTGAATGTCATTATTGCGAAGAAATATTTTTAAGTTATATCGATACATTTTTGATATTGTTAAATTTTAATTTCAATTTTAATTTTATAATAGCAATAAACGAACAAATTGAATATTGATCATTTTCATGATAATTGAAATTTTAACAAGTATATCATTTGTTTTAAAATGAAAATTTTAATTTTAATAAATATATTTAATTGATATTCTTATTA